TGTACGTCTCGCGGTCCTTGACAAAATCCAGAGACGAATGTGCAAGATGATTGGTCCTGATCTGACATCTAATCTACAATCGCTATCCCACAGACGTGCCATGGCCTCCGTCTATCTATTCCACAAGTATATTCACGGCAAATGTTCCGACGAGCTACTGTGGCTGGTTCCCGGACTTCATGAATTAAAAAGTGCTACCAGGCTGGCATCTCGGTCCCACCCTTTCACTGTCAAAACCGTTACATGTAACAGTCTCTTCTCAAACAGCTTCTTCTCCAGCACTTGTTGTCTGTGGAACTCCCTTCACCTTACTTGCTTCCCCGATGACTATAATCTTCAAATATTCAAGTGTAATGTCAATCGACATCTGACACCTTGAGCCTGTTCCTCGTTCTCCACTGTATCCTTTCCTCAAATATGACTCTTTACTCTTGTTCCCAATTCTCTGTAACCCCTTGCGTGCTAGTGGCACTCCCGCCGTGCTTGGGGCGAATTGCCTTAAAAACAAATCAACCCTTTATAGATCATTTAATGCCGAAATTTAACTTTTTAGAGAGCTTTGAGTAACTGTGTTTTTTCAAAAATGTAATTTTTCGCTTCATTTTCGAATAATCTATTGCTGATAATTTTTCACTAGGAAAATGTATTGCTGGTATTCTTACTACAATTTTTTTTTTTTATACTTCCATAATGTTTTGACCCTAATTTTGGGGTTCACTATTCGCCCATACCTGTAACCCTGACAGTTTCTACGACCCTAGGTCAGGGTAGAACTGTGAACAACAACAAATAAGAGATGGTTTCCCGCTCCTCAAAACCTCCTGATGGAGACCTTGCTGCAGGATGGAGTTTATCGTCATACTCAGGGAGTGGGTGAAAGAGCGTATGCATGAAGGACTGACTAAATGAATAAATGACTGACTTTGTGAATAATTAAATGAGGGAGAGAGTGAATGAGTGAGTTAATGAGTGAGTAAGGGAGTGGGCGTTTATGCAATTGCACGCAACATTACGCACTAACTCTTATTCCCTGTAATTGTTCGTAAGTAAATTCACTTATTTACCAGATGGTAAAAGCCCCGGGTATATATATATATATATATATATATATATATATATATATATATATATATATATATATATAACTTTTAAGCAATACGGTTCGCTCCTCTTAAATATGATTGTGCACGCAACGACGTCTAAGATATTTGCCTTCAAAGACTGCAAAACAACACGCATTGGTATACAGAAAAAAAGCATTCAGCCATTGTTTGATGAGAATCCAATGTTACAGGCGGGTTTTAGTGGAACGTAAGTTTGGCACGATAAAAACAAAGATAAAAAAAACCAGGAAAAGATACGATAATCCCTCAGTGTTGTGATGGATCTTGGTGCTATATATACATATTTATTTTCCATGGGAGAATCTAAACTTATTTATATACCAGCTTGTTACACATCTTTCTTCTGACACAATACCAATGTTTCACGGCTTTTTAGGGAGACGTAAACAACTAGTACACTACCAATTGCCTTCGAGAGTAGATAATGAATCATGATCCAATGGCTACCGTCTTATTATCTCTCTCTCTCTCTCTTTCACACACACACACACACACACACACACACACATATATATATATATATATATATATATATATATATATATATATTATTTATTTAAAATATGATTTCAACACGCTACATAAGAGTTCTCATGTTTCAAAAAAGAGCCAAAAACTTCAATATAATTATTTGAATTAAATTGAATTAAAGTAAGCTCTGTTTAATTCAATTTAATTCAAATAATTATATTGAAGTTTTCGGCTCTTGTTTTGAAACATGAGAACTCTTATGTAGCGTGTTGGAATCATATTTTTAAATAAATAATTATATATATATATATATATATATATATATATATATATGCATGCATGTATGTATATTCTTTTTATATGTTATTTTTATAGATACAATTTATTTAAGTAAATGGTCTGTTTTTAATTAAGGTGTATTAATTACATTTACCGGGGTGAATGTTCGATAAATATAATTAATACTGTCTATATTTCTGAGATGAGGTTTTATGTACATTCTTTACATTATTCGGACTATTGTCCTCAACTTTATCGCCATATTTATTACAACGTTTCGGCCGAAAAAGATCACGAGGGCTACGTTTTCGGCTTTGGTCCCCAGCATCTCATGTCACATCTTTTTTTTCAGGGTGAAGATCGGACTCATCAGTCATCTCCGCACCCACCCCCACCCGACAACAAAGTGATTCAAAGTCAAGGTCATCTTCGCAGGCGGAGGACGGACAAACGAATATATAATATGACACATTGAGTTCTGGTGTATGTGGGAATCTGTGTTACACTATTTACATTATTCGGACTTTTGTCCTCATCTTCTTCGCCATTTTTATTACAACGTTTCGGCCGTTGTATGCTCCAGCCTTCTTCAGTTGGTTGGAATGTCAAACTGAACCCTTTATTTTGCTCACTGGGGTAGACAGTTCTAGTTCCACGTGCCATGTTTTTAATTACCCTCTGAAAGTTCTCCACTTCCTTAACCGGGTATTGAACTCACACTCTTTGGGTCCTGTCACTGCATCTAACCAACGCCTTTATATATGTGTCCTTGGCACGTGGAACTAGATCAGTCTACCCCAGTGTGCGAAATAAAGGGTTCAGTTCGACATTCCAACAACCTGAAGAAGGCCGGGGTGTACAAAGCCCGAAACGTTGGTGATAAATATGGCGACGAAAATGAGGACAATAGTCCGAATAATGTAAATAATGTAATTAATATTGTTTAATTAATTTTTTCTTAAATAAATTATATCTACAAAAATATATTATAAACAGAAAAAATTATTAAATAATTGTCGGACTTAATCCATTTCATTATGTTGTCATTGTTTACGTTAAGATACCTTTTGTGAGCATTTGATAGATTGAGAATTGTCGCCGAAGACTGTGTGTTTAAAAACAGTCATTTGGACATTGCTAACCAGGCTTTTCTCTGTAACCGAATGGTGTTGCACGTCAGGCCAAATGACAGGTTCCGTATACGATTACAGGTTCGATTCTTGTCAGAGGACGCATATTTTCTACGAAATTTCTCGAACATTCAGATCGTTAAATGTAATTAATAATGTTTAATTAGAAAAAAATAGAATATTTATTTAAATAAATTGTATATATAAAAAATGCCGCATGAACAGAAAATATGTTCAATAATTGGACTTAATCCTTTGCATATATATATATATATATATATATATATATATATATATATATATATATATATATATATATATATATATATATATATATATAATTAAGTTTTGAAGAACTTGGTAATCCGTATGGGTAATCCCAAGGAGGATAAAATACTGAGAGCACAATGTAAATCCAGAGCTAATATTTTAAAGAAAAACATACCACTTGAAAGTACCATTATAATAATTTATTTCATCAGAGCTCTTTTAAAGGACGCCGGATCATCAAGTAAGGTTTTTGGAATTGCTATCTGATGATCCGGCGTCCTTAAAAGGGCTCTGCTGAAATAAATTATTATAATGATGTCTTAAAGTGGTCTGTCTTTCTTTAATATATATATATATATATATATATATATATATATATATATATATTCAAAAGAGGTAATCGAGTTTTTACTTATTAATCGAACAGATTTTGATCAATTTTTAAAACGTTATTTTAATGGGTAGCCATATTTGAGTAAAATCTGCGCTTATTTTAAATAGTAAATGTATTTTTGCCCGACCCACATATTGATCTTATAATTTCTATTCCATCAAATTCAAGAACCGATGCTTTAATGTATTCATCTCATAGATATGTATAGTTTAGGCATTCTCATCGCCTGAGGATCGCGGGATCGTGAAACTTAAGTAGCACTCTATTGAGATGTGACGCTGCGAAGCGTTTTACATTATATATATGGTTGTAAGATGTGTGTATATACAGTGGTTTGTCATTAGGTTTTCGCCATGGTTGATATCGATTATTTTACTTAATTTATGTAGTAAATGTATATCTATGAGCTCCCACCGCCAAAGATTCCAACTGTAATGTCAAAGTCTCATATTTCTTTATTGTAGAATATTAGTGATTTTCAGTAGCAATAATCAAGTTGGTCCGCAGTCATGCTTCCTGGCAATTATTCCAGTGAAACCAACGAAGGCAAGAAAGACTATGACGCAGACCTTAAACACAATAAAAATCATTTTCCGAAAACATGACACAAATACTAAAAAAGCACAACAGGAAAACAACCACTCGCACAAATCAAAACCACGTATAACAAAAAACTAATGTCCTTTAAACAGCAATTGCTTCTAGAACAATGTAATATACCAAGCCACTGTAAAATGAGTAGATAATGAAGAAATACAATAGACTACCTGCAAATATATAAACAAAAGCAAAAACACAACGCATATGGTCTGAAACAGAGAGTCAACTCTGAGTGTTGACTTCAATGTCCATTATATATATGTGTGTTTGTGTGTTGTGATTGTGTGTGCTTGTGTGTATGTGTGTGTGTGTGTGTGTGGTGTGGAAACTCAAAAGAGGAGAAAAGAGGTTATAGATGATAGATGAGAACACAATCTTCAGATGCTAAGATAAGACACTTAAATACGCACCTGATGATTGCGTCGTGCACGAAATTCGGAGTCATGTTACCGATGACGAACAAATGAAAACAGTATATTTATTATTAATTGCCAATATATAATTTATAGCTCCATCAACCACGACAATATATATATATATATATATATATATATATATATATATATATATGTGTGTGTGTGTGTGTGTGTGTGTGTGTGTGTACTGAGAAATTGACATGCTCTTGCAAGTGCTCAATACACTAACTTGATAGAGCTTTTACTGTCTGGATTGCCATGATGGTGGTTTTTGATGAGCCGTAGAGGAAAACTCTATTATCGAGCGGGTACATATTCAAAAATTCAGATATATAGATATGATTGCATTAGATATGGAGATAGATAAGAACATATTGTGATAGATAGATAGATAGATAGATAGATAGATAGATAGATAGATAGATATGAATAGACTAAGATAGATAGCTAGGCAGGCCTTCATCTTGCCTCAAGCAACACCGTCATAGCTTCAATCAACTAATATTCACCCGGAACAGGTAAGCTGCATTGATGTGTATAAATGCCCGAACCTCTGTTATCAATCTTGATTGAAACAAATGGATTTATTGACATATTTTATGAAATTCAATTAATAATCGTCCATGTCATATCTCAGAATGAAGGCAATATTTCACGCGCCATCTTTCCATAAGCGTTTTACCAAGCGAAATATTTTACAAACGTTCGTCTGTAAATTAATTGCTATAACTTCCAGGCCCTCAAAGAGACTGACCAACTACTGGACAAGTTGCATATCTCCTTGCATCGTTTGATGTTGTCAACCTTACCAGGTATTGACTCTATTCGATATTTACAAAGGCTTTTTTGATTCGAGACGTTATTTATCTTGTTAGAATTTTAGGTACTACTTAAACTGATTAGTCCGATAGTAAAAAATAAAAATAATAAAAATAGGTAAACACAAAAACATGGAGAAATGTTTTGGAGAATAAATTTTACACTATTTACGATGATCGGGCTGCTGTCGTTACTTTATTCACGAAGTTTCGGTCGTGGTACGCTCAGGTATTGAACTCACAAATCTTTGGGTCTGAACAATCAGGAATGTAAGGTTCACCCTGACAAGGAGGTTCCCATCTAGCGTCCAGTTGGCAAACAAAAATAGAGTTGTAACTTAATACATTTCCCAAAGATTCACAGTATACTGATGGGTATTTATTGAGCATAGTATCCACAATAGAATCAGCAGCTAGTCGGGACTCGCAGAATAGGCTTGCCTGGGTTTCAGAATGGAATCACCCGGGATGCCATATAACCCCCCTACTAACTTGACCAGGGAAGTTCTGTCAGTGAGTTTTGACTTCCATTAAAGTCGAGTACTGTCTGTTGCTATTACCAAATTTTACACTTGCTCAGTAAGACTCAACTTTTATTACCTCTACCAAACTTTACATAGCGCTGTGAACAGGATTGGAACCTGTGCAGGAATATCCCATTAGATTTCGTTGTCGAGTCACTGAGTTACTTTAACGAATACTTTTATCTTGAGGACATGTTGCCCAGTGGTTAAAAGCGTTGGTTGAAGTTACCCAGTCACTTGACCCAAAGAAGAGTCGTGTGTTCAATACCTGGCTTCAACAGAGGGGAACAAAATCTTGGACAGAACAGTCTACCCAGAAGATGAGTTATGTGTTATTTTCCACCCTACAACACCTTGCTTCACAGATGAAATGTTGCTACCTTCTCACTACACTATCTCTAATTGCATGGCAAATGTTCACACGACCTACAACCCTTACATCTATTAATTCAGACCTTCACGGCTAAGACCGTCCATTCCACATACACAGAGTTGAATCATCCACATTCTCACCGTATTTCACTGGTTAGAAGTAAGTCACATCCAGATAACTTCTTCCTCGGAAGTGTTACTTTTCTTACTGGTCAGTAACTAAATGGGCTTGCGGTTACTGTACGGTTACCAAAGTTAAGCAACATCGAGTATGCTCAGTTCCTAGGTGGGTGATTGCATGGAAATACCCCGATGTGGCTTACCACATTGAAACACCGGATCTCGTAAGATCACCTAAGTAAAGCAACGTCAAGCCTGGTTAGTACCTAGAGCACTGTATATGAATGCTAGGTGCTGTAAGCTTGGATGTACGGTTCGTTAATTTTTAACCGGAGAGCACAATTTCCGTTCCACTTGGAATACCTTGAGAAAATTATTAACCTACATCTTCTCCCTCAGCTATGGATTAATTAGTAAGAATTACGTACAAAATATTTAGATTTCAGCATAAAATAACCCATAAAGATTGATGTGCAAATTTTGGCGTCAGAGACAGCATCTCACTTCATGTCCCCAACAGACTTGTCACCATTAATCAATAAACTGTTTATGTCTTTTGCTCTCAAAAAAAAAATGTCTGTACTGTAAAATTTATTGCTGTTAAGTGTGAACCTTATTGGTAGAATACGGGAGAATGTATACGTTCTGTAATGAGCAAGAAGTTTCAGTCAGTTACGACTGAGTAGTAAATTCGATCCTCATTGGGTACTCCATATATTTGTTTTTGTGCCTTATTTAAGCTGTGCTAAGTAAATCACTATTGGCAGACAACGGGATCACTTCGCCGTGGTATAATGTTTAGCAAACTTGTCACGTCTCTGAGCTACGACTGAGTCGTGCCATATCTAAAGCTACGCTTAGTAAATAAATAATGATAGACAACGGAAATATCGGCTCTGTTAATTGCAAATCAAAGCAGCCATTAGAACTGGTCAGTCGCTCGCGGCTATGTCCTTGTGAATTTCCCAATGTATGCTAATATGGACTCCAAGGCAACCCTTTGCAAAAGGCAACGTACGCGGAACGACATGAAGGTACACGATCAAAACGAATCCACAAGCGAATACATAAGTTGTAAAATTTGTCTTACATTGGACACTCTTGCCCGTAGAGCTTTTCGGCCGAGAATAATGTTTCTTGTATGAACCATTAAGGTTACGTCAAATGTATTAGGTCTTCACAAGGATGTTGTTCACGATGACGGTCATCTCTGGGTATAGAATCCAGAGGTTAGCAGTGAATATTTCGAAGAGAGTAGGAAAGCGTTGTTCAGGTTAGCATTGGATATTTTGGCAAAAGTAGTAGAGCGTAGTTCTTCCTTCTGTTCCTCTTCGCCTGACAAGCTGGAACTGGACATTCGGGTCGAGTAAACAAAATGGCCGCTTTTATACACGACGGATTGAATGTTCTACGTCTTCTGATTGGTTAACCTTCTATTGGTGGACTATAAAGTGAGTCAAGTCATTTGGATATGCTCACTAGTACATAGTATACACAAAAAACTGCAACAAAGGACAATTTTAAATGGAAACCATACTTTAAGCTGGGTTACTCCATTTTCTTTTTCTTTCCAGTTACGTAGCGCAGGGATTGAGCTGATTAATTAAACAAAATAGAAGGTATAATTGAAACTAAAAGAAAGGACCAAACATCAACTCCAAGACAGAACCTATGATTGTCCAAGTATGAGAATTACAAATCGGAGATGCCAAAAACCAAGCAAGTACAAAAAATGTATATAGCTAGGAAATGTTTTAACAGAGAACGGAAAATATGACACCGAAATCCGAAGGTGCGGTGGGATAGTGAAAGATGCATTTCAAAAGTTAAGTAAAGTATTAAGAGACAAAAAAAAATGAATCTCGTTAGAAACAAAGATGAGAGTATTTAGATGTTATGTAATATCGGTACACGTACAGGCTGCGATGGATAAATTCCCGTCTAGAAGGACGCAAGAATGAAAATAACATTGGCATCTCATCTTAACAGATGTACAAGGTGCGATGAATACATTGTCATTAAAATTACGCAGAATTGAAAAATAACACTGGCATCTCATTCTAACAGATATACAGGGTGCGATGGATAAATTGTCGTCTAAAGGACACAGGAATGAAAATAACACTGACATCTCATTTTAACAGATGTACAGGGTGCGATGGATAAATTGTCGTCTAAAGGACGCAAAATTGAAAATAACACTGGTATCTCATTTTAACAGATGTACAGGGTGCGATGGATAAATTGTCGTCTAAAGGACGCAAAATTGAAAATAACACTGGTATTTCATTTTAACAGATATACAGGGTGTGATAGATAAATTGCCATTAAAATGACGCAAAATTGAAAATAACACTGGCATCTCATTTTAACAGATATACAGGGTGCGATGGATAAATTGTCGTCTAAAGGACGCAAAAATGAAAATACCACTGACATCTCATTTTAACAGATGTACAAGGTGCGATGAATAAATTGTCATTAAAATGACGCAGAATTGAAAAATAACACTGGCATCTCATTCTAACAGATATACAGGGTGCGATGGATAAATTGTCGTCTAAAGGACGCAAAATTGAAAATAATATTGACATCTCATCTTAAAAGATATATGTATTAAAATTACACAAATATATGACCGTAAATGCTAGACAATCTCATCACATGAAGAAAAGGCATGAGGCAACCGAAATGTCGTTCTACATAAGCACGCTTAACATAAAAAAGACACTGTGCAACCATATACCGCGCATAATAGCAAAAGCGAATTAGAAACATTGACACTGACAGGACATATTACAGGCCACAGAGGAAAAGCATCACATAAAGCAGTTAGAATATGTGTAGGTGGCTGGTAGACCATGGTGTAGGAGAGATAGTAAAAAGACAGAATTTACAACGTAACTGCAAATAAAACACAGCATACCCGAACACAGCAACATCGATTATTTCCTGATTACCGAGAGTAAAAAATACAATATTTTTTCTGGCGTCTTGCAAGACATTCCTCTTTTCTTAGCGGCTTGAATTATAATGATTATTAATATTACCTTTGCAAAGACCAAGAGAAAACATGAGTATTCTTAAAATGAGCATTTCGATTACAAAACTGAGCATTCTGAATTCGAAACCGGTAAAAGGATCAAGAGGAAAAATGAGTATCTCGAAATGAGCATTCGTATTTCTAAAATGAGCATTCTATAATTCGAAACGGTTGAAAAGACAAACAAAAAACATGAGTATTGTGAAATGAGCATTCATATTTCTAAAATGGCATTCTATATTTCGATACCGTTAAAAAATAGCCACTAAAATATGAGTAATGTGAAATGAGTATTTCTATTTTTAAAATGAGCATTCTATATTTCGAAACGGTTGAAAAGACCAACAAAAACATGAGTATTGTGAAATGAGCATTCCTATTTCTAAAATAGACATTCTCTATTTCTGAAATGATCTTTCGTATTTCTTAAATGAGCTTTCCGACTTGGAAACCTTTGAAAAGGCCAGGTGAAAACCGTTTTTATCTTTTCCCGAGATGTCATGGGAATTCACATGTAATAAAAATGTTAAAGAACTTGTGAAACGCCATGACCAGCTGCCTTCTGAACAGATATGTCATTTAAAAAAAGAATTAAATTAGTTTGGACAAAAGCCAAAGTTAACGGCACTGTGAATCGAATTTAAGTCAAAAACTGATTGGGTTGCGAATAGATCGTGCAACTGTTGGCGCCATAATATTTTTTCGTTTATTTTAGGAACATCAGCTTAGTATGACACAAGGGCATTGGAATTTAGCTTCTCGTTAAGATCAAACACGATACAAGCTGGTAAATTAGCGCATAGATCATGTCCACACTACTTTATCGTGAATGTCACGTTAGAGAATATAGATATATTTATTGAATTTAAATTTTCCTGACACTGGGGCAACAATACAAGGAGCTTAAAAAGAGTTGAGGTCTTTCATAAAGAAAGAGTTCCCGGCTGAATTCCTAAAGTGGGAAAATAGGTTTATGTCGAAGAAGTTGTTCTGGAAATTTATGAGAAGAAACGTATGAGGTGTGAGTTAGGTAGGTCAGTATTTTCTCGCCGGGACACCAATGCAAAAAAAATTAACCAAAAAAAAAAAAAAAAAAAATCTCTTCCCACCTCATCTGGAAGACACCTACGATTTAGCCCCGTGACTCTGACAGAACGAAAAAGAGAAGGGATCGAGGTGCATATGATAGGGAAAAAAAAGAATGAGGAAAGAGAAGAAAAAAAGATTGAGAGGAAAGTGAGGAAAAAGAAAGAAAGGGAGAAATGAGAAGAGGAAATAAAAAGACAAAACAAAAATGGCGGAGACGAAAGGAAAAAGGGATGAACGGTAAGGAAAAAAAAAACATGGTTAAAAAGTTTATGAGAATGTAACAGCTAAAATGAAAAAGATTGAAAGAAAAAAGAAAAGAATAAAGAAAGAGGCTGACAGAAGAATGAGAAAAGGATGAAGAAGAAGGAAAAAGAGGAGGAGAAAAGAAAAGAATAAAGATGGGAGAGGAAAATGAGAAAGGAATGAAGAAAGGGGAGAAAGAAGAAGACAAAAGATAAGAATAAAGAAAAGTGGAAGAGAATGAGAAAGGATGAAGAAAGAGGAGAAAAAAGAACAGAATAATGAAAGAGGGGAAAAGGAGGAAGAGAAAGAAATGAAGAAGGAGGAAGAGAAAAACGAATAAAGAAAGAGTGGAGAGGTATGGAGGAAAAAGAGTAGGAGAAAAGAAAAGAATAAAGAAAAGGGTAAGCGGTGAATGAGAAAGGAATGAAGAAGGAGGAGAAAGAGGAGAAGAAAAAGAAGAGCGTGAGGAGAATGAGAAAGGATGAAGAAGGAGGAGGAGGAGAAGAAGGAAAGAAAAAGAAGCAGGGAGAGAATGAAAATCGATGAAGAAGGAGGAGAAAGAGGAGAAGAAAAAGAAGGGCGTGAGGAGAATGAGAGAGGATAAAGAAGGAGGAGGAGAAAAGAGGAAAGAAGAAAAATGAAGGGATGAAGAAGGTGAGGAGAATGAGAGAGGATGAAGGAAAAGGAGGAGAAAGAGGAGAAGAAAAAAGAAGGGCATGAGGAGAATGAGAGAGGATAAAGAAGGAGGAGGAGAAGAAGAAGGAAAGAAAAAGAAGGAGAAGGAGAATGAGAAAGGATGAAGAAGAAGGAGAAAGAGAAGAAGAAAAAGAAGGGCGTGAGGAGAATGAGAGAGGATAAAGAAGTAAGAGAAAGAGGAGAAGAAAAAGAAGGGCGTGAGGAGAATGAGAGAGGATAAAGAAGGAGGAGGAGAAGAAGAAGGAAAGAAAAAGAAGGAGAAGGAGAATGAGAAAGGATGAAGAAGGAGGAGAAAGAGGAGAAGAAAAAGAAGGGCGTGAGGAGAATGAGAGAGGATAAAGAAGGAGGAGGAGAAGAAGAAGGAAAGAAAAAGAAGGAGGAGAATAAGAGAAAGAAGGAGAAGAAAAAAAAGAAGGGCGTGAGGAGAATGAGAGAAAAAGAAGGAGGAAATAAAGGAAGGAGGAGGAGAAGAAGAAGGAAAGAAAAAGAAGGAGAAGGAGAATGAGAGAGGATGAAGAAGGAGGAGAAAGAGGAGAAGAAAAAGAAGGGCGTGAGGAGAATGAGAGAGGATAAAGAAGGAGGAGAAAGAGGAGAAGAAAAAGAAGGGCGTGAGGAGAATGAGAGAGGATAAAGAAGGAGGAGGAGAAGAAGGAAGAAAAAGAAAGGAGAAAAGAAAAAAGAAGGAAGAAGGAGAAGAAAAAAAAGAAGGGCGTGAGGAGAGGAGGATAAAGAAAGGAAAAAGAGGAGAAAAAAAAGAAGAGAATGAAGAAAAAGAAGGAGGAGGAGAAGAAGAAGGAGAAAAAGAAGGAGAAGGAGAATGAGAGAGGATAAAGAAGGAGAAAAGGAGGAGAAAAAGAAGAGGAGAAGAAAAAAGAAAAGAAGGGCGTGAGGAGAATGAGAGAGGATAAAGAAGGAGGAGGAGAAGAAGAAGGAAAAAAAAATGGAGAAGGAGAATGAAGAGAGGATAAAAAAAAAGAGGGCGTGAGGAGAAATGAAGAAGGAGAGAAAGAAAAGAAAAGAAGGGCGGAGGAGAATGAGAGGGAGAATGAGAGAGAAGAAAAAAAAGAAGGAGAAGGAGAGAGAAAGGATGAAGAAGAAAAAAGAAGAAGGAAGGGCGGAGGTGGAGAAGACGATGAAGAAGGAGGAGAAGAAGAAGGAGGAGAAGGAGAAGAAGAAGGAAAAAAGAAGGGCGTGAAAAGAAGGAGAAGGAGAAAGAGAGGAAGAAGGAGGAAGAAGAGAAGGAGAAGAAAAAAAAGAAGGGCGGATGAAGAAGGAGAAAAGGAAAACAAAAGAGAGGATAAAAGGGATGAAGAAGAGGAGAAAGAAGAAGAAAAAGAAGGGCGTGAGGAGAAATGAGAGAGGATAAAGAAGGAGGAGAAAGAGAAGAAGAAGGAAAATGAAAAAAGAAGGAGGAGGAGGAGAATGAATGAGAGAGGATAAAAGAAGGATAAAGAAGGAGGAGAAAGAGGAGGAGGAGAAAGAAAAAAAAGAAGGGCGTGAGGAGAATGAGAGAGAGATGAAGAAGGAGGAGAAAGAGGAGAAGAAAAAGAAGGGCGTGAGGAGAATGAGAGAGGATAAAGAAGGAGGAAGGAGAAAAGAAAAAGAAGGAAAGAAAAGAAGAAGGAGGAAAAGGGGAGAATGAAAAGAATGAAGAAGAAGGAGAAAGAGGAAGAAAAGAAAAAATGAAGGGCGTGAGGAGAATGAGAGAAGGATAAGAAAAGAAGAAGGAGGAGAAGATGAAGAAGGAAAAGAAAAAAGAAGGAGAAGGAGAATGAGATAGGATAAAGAAGGAGGAGAAAGAGGAGAAAAGAAAAAAAGAAGGGCGTGAGGAGAATGGATGAAGAAGGAGGAGGATGAAGAAGGAGGAGAAAGAAGGATGAAGAGAAAAAAGAAGGGCGTGAGGAGAATGAGAGAGGATAAAGAAGGAGGAGGAGAAAGAAGAAGGAAAAGAAAAACAAGGAGAAGGAGAATGAGAAAGGATGAAGAAGAAGGAGGAAGAAGAAGAAAAAGAAATAAAAAGAGGGATAAAGAAGGAGGAATGAAGAAAGGATGAAGAAGAATGAGGAGGAAAAGAAGGAGAAGAAAAGGAGAAGAAAAGGGCGTGAGAGAGAGGATAAAGAGAATGAAAAGAAGGAGAAAGGGATAAAGAAGGAGGAGAAAGGAGGAAAAAGAAAAGAATGAGAGAGGAGAATAAGAAAAAAGAAGGAGAAGAAGAAGAAGAAGAGGATAAAGAAGAAAAAAGAAATGGAGAAAAGAAGGAGGAGAAAGAAAAGAAAAGGAAGTGAGGAGAATGAGAGATAAAGAAGAAAAAGGGAGAAGAAAAGAAGGGCGTAAAGAGAAGAAGGGAAAAGAAGGGGGCGTGAGGAGAATGAGAGGGATAAAGAAGGAGGAGGAGAAGAAGAAGAGGAAGAAAAAAAAGAAGAAGGAGAAAGAAGAATGAGAAGAGAGATAAAGAAGGAGGAGAAAGAGGAGAAGAAAAGAAGGGCGTGAGGAGAATGAGAGGATGAAGAAGGAGGAGAAAGAGGAGAAGAAAAGAAGGGCGAGGAAAATGAGAGGGTGTGAGGAGAATGAGAGAGGATAAAGAAGAATGAGGAGGAGAAAAGAAGAAGGAAAGAAAAGAAAAGAGGAGAAGGAGAATGAGAAAGGATGAAGAAGGAGGGCGAAGAATGAGAAAAAAAGAAGAAGGGCGTGAAGGGAGAATGAGAGAGGATAAAGAAGGAGGAGAAAAGAGGAGAAGAAAAAGAAGGGCGTGAGGAGAATTGAGAGGGCGGAGGATGAAGAAGGAGGAGAAAGAGGAGAAGAAGAAGGAGAAGAAAAAAAAAAAGAAGGGCGTGGGGAGAATGAGAGGAGGATAAATAAGGAGGAGGAGAAGAAGAAGGAAAGAAAAAAGAAGAAAAGAAGGAGAATGAGAAAGGATAAAGAAGGAGGAGGAAAGAGGAGAAGAAAAAGAAGGGCGTGTGGAGAATGAGAGGATGAAGAAGGAGGAGGAAAGAAGAAGGAAAAAGAAAAGAAGGAGAAGGAGAAAAAAAAGAAAGAATGAGAGAATAAATAAAAAGGAGAAGAAGAAGAAAAAAAAAAAGAAGGAGAAATGAGGAAATAAAGTAAAAAGAAAAGAAAAAAAGAAGGGCGTGAAATGTCTTGATAAAAAGGAGGAGGAGAAATTGATAAAAGAAAAGAGAGAATGAGAAAAAATAATGGAAAAAAGAAAGAGAAAGAAAATAGAAAAAGAAAAAAGAAAGAAAAGAAAAGATAAAAAGGAAAAAGTAAAAGGAAAGAAAGAAAGAAAGAAAGAAAGAAAGAAAGAAAAGATAAAGGGACGAAAGCGAAGAGAAATGACCCAAAATGCTAATGGTGGGGCCGGTGAATGAGATCAGATAAATAAAGACAAGAAAAGATAGTTAAAAAAAAAAAAAGGATTAAAAAAGACGTGAAGGAAAACAAAGAAGAAATGAAAATAAAAAGAGTTAGTGAATATTTCGGAAGGAGAAATGAAAGAAAGAAAATGGGAAGAATGAAAGTTAGAGAGGTAGAGAGGAAACTAGAGGAAGAATGAAAACAGAAGAAAATTTCGAGTGGAATTATATATATATATATATATATATATATATATATATATATATATATGAAAAATTCTCCGATTTAACCAGTAGAAGACAATATTTATGAATAAAAATGACAATAGGAAAACTGGTAATTGCTGACGCGTTTCGTCCAATGTCGACTTTATCAAAGCAAAATACAGTTTTTCCTACTGTCATTTTTTATTCATGAATATATATATATATATATATATATATATATATATATATATATATATATATCCAAAAATAGGATTGGTGTATACGGAATAAATTCAGTAAGCATAAATTACTATTCTTAAAAGAGTGCTCAATACAGAGTAGAGCGAATATAATTATTTATTCGAAAATTATAACATAAATGATTTATAAAATCACTGCAAAAATAGTCATTTTGTTTCAACACCTCTGGTGACTTATCAAGTAATGATGTTGAATATAGAATAAAGAGTTTTAAAAGGTTCAATTCAATTAACCAAACCTTGCATGGGGAAACGCTGTTACATAAGCTGGAATGACCAATCAAAATACAAGTATACGAGAATTCAAAAATTGACAACAAACTAAGGTTTGAATTCTCATACACTTGTATTTTGAAACAAAATGTCTATATTTGTACTGATTTTATAAAATATTTATTTATAATTTTCTAATAAATAATTATATATATATATATATATATATATATATATATATATATATATATATATATATGATATATCATAAACAGATAGAATGTTTCGCTGTATCACACCTATTCAGCGTGGCTAGACACCCGATTCTTTTCAAGCCGGCATCGAAATCCGATCGATTTGTTATCAGTCTGAGATTCTACACCTCGGCTATCGTTTCACAGCTGAGAGGAACGGAAATTTTAACGTTTTCTATGCGAAATACATCAGAGGCCCGGAGCTCAATTCAATTGGGCTGAAGAGCAGTGCGTCATATATATATATATATATATATATATATATATATATATATATGATAAAATATATTTTTAAGGCATGCTATATTTGTGGGTTAAAGTACGTAACATTAGGGAAATAGCGTATGTAAATATAAAAGTAGACTTTGAAGTCAACAACCAGAGGCGAGATTTTGTTTCATGCTAAACGCTATTGTCAAGCCATGTGCATTGTGTCTTTGCTCGACTTTTTATATATACAGTTCAGAGATGCATTGTGGGTAGTTTGGTGCATTGTGGGTAGTCTGTTGTATTATTCTAACGGTTATTTTGGTGGGTGTGGTTTTTTAATTTGTTTATTATTTACTTCTTTTTTTTTACTTATTTATTTGTTTGGATTAATTTCTTTTACTTGCCTTTATTTATTTTATTTTTTTATCTATTTTTATTTATTCTTGTTCGTTTTCCGTTTTCGATATTTAAGTAGCGTAGTAAAAATATTTTTTCGTATCTGCATTTTGAGTAGTTACTTTTAGTCTGGGAAGGTAATTACGGTTATTTTTAACTCCAGGCAACGTTTACACTTTTTAGATTGATTCTTGTAGGCAAACGTCCTTTTCCTTATTTTCCATCATATTTTTAAGGTGATCTTTTTTTGCTTTTAATCTCCCAGATATGTTTAGAAAGCATTGTGCTGTTCGTATTTAAAATTGTAAAGAATGTTTTGCATATATATATATATATATATATATATATATATATATATATATATAGACGAGTTCAACGTATGAGGGTCAAGCAGATCAGTTCCCAGGAAACCGACAGCCCGACAACAGCACATGAGATTTGATTATAGTGGTGAAGGTTTCGTGCAGGACCAACCACACTTTTTGAAGTGACGAATACAGAGACCTGGTGCACTAAGTGCCAAACGTCCCCAAACGACGCTCCGCAGGTTTTGAATTCAGAGTTGTCCTTCTCCTAGACCAGTTGCCATCCAAGGCTATAGAACCCAGTCTGTCCTGCTATTTTACCCATAGCTGGAGGGAGAAGAAGAGGATTCATACCTTTCCCAAGGGTATTATTAGCACGTAAATGAATGTAATGGATTCGACTGGAATTCGAACTTACGCTATCCATTATATATATATATATATATATATATATATATATATATATATATATATATATATATATATAGAGAGAGAGAGAGAGAGAGAGATGAATATAAGATATCGCACATAGAATGCTGGTCTTAATAAAACAGTGCTCGATAAAACACTTAAATAAACCAAACTCTTATATATATATATATATATATATATATATATATATATAAAGCGGACAAAGAGAGCATAGAAACATAACAATAAGAAAGGTCATAATTGACTTTAAAAATTCATCTGGATCAACGTATTTTAACAGATCCTGAATTTTACACCTACATGTAACCATCAATTCATTTCTAAACAAGAAAATGAATTTCCTATTGTTGTTTTATGCTCTTTGCTTGCCCGTTTATATATATATATATATATATATATATATATATATATATATATATATATATATATATATATATATATATATTTAACAGAGATCTTTATAAGAATATTTTATTTTTAAAAATATTTAAAACCAGTTATCTCCCTTTATTTTTAATATAAACATAGTAATTGAACTTTAAATAAAAGTTAATATGTTTTTGCTCATATAGTTTTAGGTTAGTCTATTTTAATAGAATTTTTTTCAATAAATACCATTAATCCCAGTTTATTTTAAATATAAAACAACATATTTATACCCGTTTATTTTGTATATTTAAATAAAAATCCTGCCTATTCTAAATGTAACATATATTTAAAAAATCAAAAAAAAATCGTAATCTTCGTATAATATATGGACTACACCAGCACTCCGTTAGCCAGATATTTTTATTAAAATGTAAATTATGCCACGGAATATTGCGTTGTGCATGAACCGACGAGTCGTTCAACAGACGAGGGATACTATAAATATATATATATGTGTGTGTGTGTGTGTGTGTGTGTATTTTCAGATAGAATATATCAGTAAAGGAACAAAATCAATAAAAAGACGGAAGGAAAGGATTATCCTTCCCATTTGCCTTGATAAATTCCCTCAAAGGACGAAACGCATCGGCTAAGTATAGTTTTTCCTCTTGTCTTTTTATTCATTTATATATATATATATATATATATATATATATATATATATATATATATATATATATACTATATATGTAACAATAAGAGATAGATCAAGTATCGACCATCATAAAGACTGAAAAATAAAATTGACAAAGATTATTGTTTAAGGTTGACGGACACGCATGTCTTAATTAGTTTGTTTTTTTTACGAATTGGTCAAACCTAAACAAAAACATTGTTTTCAATCGTTATGAGTCTACCGATTGAATAGAATTTTATTATCAACAATAGTCTTGTAAATGGAATTTTTAAAGCATTCTGAATGTAAAAATAAAGAAAAAAAGTGTGCAAGGCAATAAGTAACACTACCTGCCAAAAAAAGTGAAGTTTTGTTGAAATCGGTTGAAAAATGTAGGAAATCCGATCCCATATATAAACGAACACACACACACACACACACACACACACACAAAAACAACCTGGATTTTATAATAAGTATAACTCGATATGAGTTGTCCCCCTTTCCTTCTCGCGATGCCTCTTAATCATGTTTTCAAATTGATTTCGTGCAAAAACAATTGTGTTTTTTCAATTTTTGGCGCTGTTAGAACCACCGCAAGGTAATTTTACGCAGTCCTGTAAAGTTTTGTTGAAATCGGTCGAAAAATGTAGGAAATCCGATCCAATATATAAACGTACACACACACACACACACAATCTGCGTTTTATAATAAGTAAGATGTTTCTAAAAAAATTCATTGATAAAAAATTTCTACCGTCAAAGTAAAGACGAAAGTATTTTTTGATTATTTTATTAAATTTTTAAAATCACTTTCGAAATTTTGAGTAGAAATCCTGTTTTTTTGTTTTTCTTTTTTCAGTAACATCGACAAAGTTTACCATTTTTATGATAATTTTAAACAAGTTTGTTCTGTTTTAAAAATCTTTCAAAAATATATATATATATATACATTTCTAAAACGTTATTTGAGGAAAATTAGCAAATTTAAAATTTAATTAATTTTATTTAAAAAAAATTACTTATTTTAGGCATAAAAACTTATTAGAAATCTATGAAGAGAATTGATTAACCACGGTGACTTGTTTTTCTAACGTGTTGATCGATTTGTCAGCCTGACAGTTAAGTAACAATGAGCAGAATTGATATAAATTTACGAAATCTGATTCTGACCGGATGATTTGCAAAGACTGTTAAGCCCGGCAAAACACAGAAGAAAAATGCAAGATGTTCACAGCCAAAGTTTATTTATATGAGGGTTTGTTTTTCCGTGAGGAAAAATTTTAAAACACGAGACTTTTTACTAATAATATCATGTATGAACATCCGTATTTACAGAAATCGGTAAGTTTATATGCACAAACAAATTTCAAAATTATTTTTAAAATATTTGGGGTCGATGAATTGTAGCAAGCTTTTCCATTTATGATTAGTAAATAAAGTTTTTACTTAACAGCAATATCATCTAGCCTGGACAAATTAATACAGGAATTTAAAAGATTTAAAACTTTTAAAATTATTCTAATTAATTTTTTTTCCAAAAATAAAACAATTCTTGTTCAAAAACAATGCATTTAAAAAGAAAATTCACTATTGGTCGAATTTTTTCTTAAGACAATAGATTCCATAATATATCTTATTCAGTAAAGAAATTAAAAACTTTTCTAATGAAATTAATTAATGTCTTAATTTTATTGCATTTTATATTTTACGATTCAGAGCAGATTTTCGATAACTATTAAAATGTTAGAAAATGATGACTTACATTCTTCAAGAAATTCTGCTTTCAACTAATAAAAGTATGAAGACGGACACAATTTAATTTCTGAAAATTTCATTTCTTAAGGAGGGTAACTATGTAAA